TAAAAAAACATTTCAATGATATATAACCAAATCCCTAAAATAAAAATACGTAAATTCAATTATTAAAACTTCAAAGCTCATACTAAATATGTAAACGAAAATCATGTGAACTTTTTCTAAAAAGATAACTCAAATGCTGCATTAAGACCATTGTTAATTAGAAGAAAAAAACAAATAAACTCCAAGATAGTAATAAACTTTAAGTCTCCAACATTATCATTGCATTACCGACAAAAAAAAAACATTATCATTGCATTACTGATCAAACTGAAAAGATCAAGAAAATTAGAGTAAAAGAAAAAAAGACCCTTGATGTTCTTTTTAACGAGAACTTAATCCTAAATCATATATATCTATAGATAAAAGGAGTTAGGCACGCAACTATTCGGATTTCGGAATTCGGTTCTTTTTACACCCTTGATAATCCAAAATATAGACCCTACCTTGGAAAGCATCTTGCACTGTTGAATAAGATTCCTCGTGAAATCAAATATGTTTTTAACCTTTGGCTACATTTTGAAAATTAAAATAATTTGTGGTTTGTATGTGGTCGTCGTGCCTGAGAACAAAGCCGATCATGGATACAAGCCCATTAAGCATATGTTTCATGTTTATAAGTTTCTGAGAGGCTAATTTAAAAGAATAAGGGAGAATTACTAAAATAATCTTGATAAATGGTTTTTTGATGATTTTGGTGTTTTTGTTTCATAATTATTCAAACACTCTTCAAAAAATTTTAAACCCGGTTTTGCTCTTATTTCATTTGATAACAAAAAACGTATTTACGAAACTGTCATTAATGAATTTTTCGCCAAAAACAAATAAGTCTACCGCTCACGTGATGGTAGATTTATTTAGTGGTTGGTAGATTTGTTTTTGAATGGTAGACTTATTGTTGAGTGGTAGATTTATTTCGGTAGACTTATTTTTATACAGTGGTAGATTTATTTCTATGTGATGGTAGATTAATTACTCGTGGTAGATTTAATTACCTTCATGGTAGATTTAATTTGGATATAAATAAGTCTACCATCACGACGATCAATAAGTCTATG